GTGTAATATATATAGAGAATTATATATATATATATATATAATACTATTATATATACATACATCAGGTGTAAATAATCTCAAAAATCAATATAAATATCTATATAATATAAATATAATAGCAGAATAATAGATAAAATTGTTATATAAATATAAAGATAAATATTTGATATTATTTACCGCCGATGGTGATGACGTATATGATGGCCCAGATAATGGCAATACATTCAGGCGAGGCACTATCGCTCCAGACATATTTCTGAGATAAATATAATCCGCCTATGAACAGTATATTGTTGCTCACGAATTCAGACTAAAACGAAAACTACATCTATTTATAAACAACACCATAATTTAATAACTTACTTCAAGAATAATAAAATGAGATTTAGAATACAACATAGTAAATTCATGTTTATTGTTCTCTTATAAATCATTAAATTCATAAAATTGTTCTCTTATCTGATGTCTTATAGATCTTTTGCCGTATTAGAGATTCGTTACAGCCGTGGTAACTCTCGATACGGCTCGCTTTTTGAAAACTTCGAAAAGTATCCCCAATTTCGTTCAAGACGTATAGCCTATCAGAATTGTACAATCGCCGGATCGCGCCATGAACGTTTCGTCGGCCTCTGCCCAAATCGTCTGTTCACTATATCAGGAAGAAAGGCTCATTCCTTTCTCGCCGAACCGCCGTACCTCTGCCTTAACTCCTCGTCATTCGATCTACTTTAAATAAAGAAATGTGAAATTGCAAAACTTTAGGGCACAGGGGGCATGGGGAGTACCTTTGCCCCCCTTCAGAAAATTTCCTGCGTACGGCCTTGGACCCACAGCGCGCACGCTTGATGACACGCTGTGGCAGTGTGCACTAAGCCCAACCAATTAACCTGCATAATTAATAATTATTATAAATTGTATGTTCGCATACTAATAGTAAGTATATATTAGACTAAAGAACAAATAAATAATAATCTGTATCTGTATCTGTATCAGTGAGTGGGATCTATATATATGAATAGTAGCTCACTACTAGGAAAAAAGAGTAGAAAAACATTAAGAAGTTTGGTAGTAAATACATTTCGCGTTTACTTACCATCATTTTCCGATTGAAACGTTCCAATTGCCTGTGGTAGTAACCAACATTTTATGATAAAAATAAAATTTGCCTAGATAAAATGTTAATATACTGACCGATAGGTGGCGTAGTGGGCAGCTGCCATTACCGTCCTGACGAAAGTAAACAGTTTCCATCACACTTCTGTTACTTCAGGCTTTAGCAAGCATTTAGCCAAGTACTGGTTATTAGTACACCTAAAATGGAACAACAAGTGCTGCTAGGTCTAGGCACTGGTCAACCAGATTTCTTGGCACATTATAGAGCCATATCAAGTAAACTCAAAAAGTACGTTTTAATTGTATAGTAATAACTAATAGTAATATACCAAGAGTGCATAATATAGATCTCTATTATGCACTCTTGAATATACTAATAGTATAAGTAATTATAATCAACCGTTCAGTTTTATTTCAATACTATTACTTGCATTAATAACTAGTTCAGCCACATCATTCACATTGAATCAATCATTCGAATAGTAACCGGGCACCCAAGCTATTGACAAAACTTACCATGGATTGTGTTTTCCAGACGATGGTTAAAGAAGCCCAACGTTGCTGAAGCTAGTGAACAGTTCCGTAAGTTACACCACAGTGTTATATCAGTCGGAGCAACCAGTGATATAGCTCTAGAACTAAAGCCCTTCGCTCTGCCACAGACCTCGGCAGTGCAGCCGCTCGCCAGTGCAGCCGCTTGCCAGTGCAGTCATTCACCTGTGGCAGAGCGAAGGGCTATAGCTCTAGAGCTACTAGCCCGACCAGGCTGTGCAACCGATTGTCTATACAGCCTGACACGCTTCCATACAAAAAACTATCACCTCTGCAGATCTAGATGAATGACTCTGTATATCTCAAATAAAGCTATTCTATTTACCACCTTTAACTTGCCTTGTTTGAAATATGAACATTATCTCACAGTTGTCCTGCTTCTATACTAGAATGTATCTCTTAATTCATGGTATAATCTGCTTAATTCTAATAATTGCATAATTCTCACAGCATATCAACTTTCCAAGCAGCTTTCCACGATTGTTTACCCGCCATGTTTACACTGTGCATGCTCGACGGAAGAGAGACACGGAAAACCCGAAACAGAAAAGACTCGCTAGAAAATACTATAAAAATAGTACAATAGCCGCACGATGGCTCGCACGGCAATTCCACACCAAAGCAAGTGGAACGATGTTTACAAATGTCTGGGCCATTTGTAAAAATCTTAGATTATATGTTCTCGGATGTAGGGGTGGTTTACAAGAAGACCGCACATCATTTAATTTTCCTTGTTTGATCCATTGTGGATTTTAGTCACAGTCGGAATGATACAACATGGTGGCGAATTCATAAATTTGGTTGCATTTGTCTCAAAAAGTTGCTGTAGCCCCATAAGTACCCAGCGCATCGTAGCGCACTGATGGTTACAAGAAAGTGGATGTATGCTGATTCATTTGGTATATCACATGTGAAGTGTTCTTTCGCAAAACTTGGCAAATAAGACAACTACGTGTTTAGCTGCAGCCAATGTTTGAAATGGTCTTCTAACCCTAGCAAGACCGTTTCTTGGAGCTATAGAGCTACCAGTGATAGCACTGGAGCATAAACTCCCTAACAACAGTTGTTAATTGGTGGTAGGGTAGAGATGTAGAAGTAGGATTAGGGTTCGAAATCTGTGTTAGGTTCAGGGTTAGGAATCTAGTGTTATAGAGTGAGTTCTGTTAAATTTGAGTAGTGCGTGTCATAGGTGTTCTACTTTACTGCGATGATTGTATGGTGACAAGCCCCATGTACTATAAATAATAGCAAGGTACGAAATTAGCACCGGCCCACTGGCATATATGCTGGCCGGCGGCAATTATTTGTAGGGCCGGTAACATTGGCAAAACACCGGCCCTCCGAACCGGTGGTTTCAGCCGTGTTAGCGAGTACCTACATTTTTGTTTATAATATAGCAGTAATGAGCAAATGGCCTACATTACTGTTTTACCTGAAGGATATCATGCCATAATTTATCAACAGTAATTCACTACACTACAGTTCAACAGTTGAGTCACAATCTACATTTGTGGATGCTAACTAATTGTGTTGTTTGTCACAGGGCAACTTGCCAAGGCTCAGGAGCATGACTATCCACATTACTCGGCCTTCTCCTGCCTTGCAATGGCCAGGTAAGTTATGTTTAGGCCAAAACAAAATATAGGTGTGGTTACCGTTTCCTGACCGACCCTATTTATTCCCAGCGACCCTAAACATTTTATTGTCAATTTTCTTTAAAGTAAACAAAATTTCAAAAAAATTTCAAAAAAAAAATTTCAAAAATATGAATTGGACAGTTCCTGCTTCAAAAGGCACAACGCACATCCTTCGGACATGGTTCGTAAATAAAATGTTTCAATAAAATAAAATGTTTTCCCTACCTACCTACCCTATTTTTTTCCGGCATGAAACGGTAACCACACCTATATTTTGTTTTGGCCTTATACTGATTCCCCTCTCGAGAGTTGAAATGCGAAAATTTCGGTTTGGTTAAGATGCGGAGGGATATATATAACTAACAAGGAATTTACTGGGGACATGTGGAGGCAAACCAGGTAGGGTAATCAGGGCGGTTTATCACCATAGTATCATGTTTTTCATGTTCTTGGCACTGTGGGAAGTATATGAGGAGCCATATTATTTGTTATCAATGCCATGGTAAAATTCGAGCCCTGCAAGTGTTCCCTAATCGAAAATGCTGGCAGTAACCATGAAATTCAGTCCACAACTTTTCTTGTGCATCCGAAATGTTCAGCACTTGTGCCAACCATTATAAGTCTCATGCCTAGATGTGCTTTCAGTGTCTAGGTTCAGTTCTATAGGTTGGTTTCAGTGTAATTATGCTTGATAGATTATCCCTATTATTTCTGAGCATCTGTGTTTGTGTTATGGTCGGTGTGCGTGCGTGCATGCCACGGGTTGTACTGTTCTGGAAAACCTGGAACGTCCTGGAATTTTAAAATGACAATTTCCAAAGGGAAGTTTTGAAAATTAGGCCAAAGTCCTAAGAAATAGCATGTAACGTAATGTGGCGTAATGTAACGTAATGTGACGTAAAGTCACGATCCAACAACACGAATCGTTCCATTGTTGTAGGGGTGGAGCACACGCTGGAAACGCCCTCAGGGGAGTGCAGCACTAAGCGGCCCCCCCCCCACGATCTTCATTGTTGTAGGTGTGAGCACACGCTGGGAAAACCCTCAGGGGTGAGGTGCAGGCACTAACGTGCCCCCCCCCCAACGACGTTCATTGTTGTAGTGTGACACAACCTGGAAACGCCACAGGGGAGTGCAGGCACTAAAACGTGCCCACCCCCCCACGATCGGTTCATTGTGTAGGTGGAGCAGCACGCTGGGAAACCCTCAGGGTGAGTGCAGGCATAACGAGCCCCCCCGCGCCCAGATCGTCATTAGTTGTAGGTGTGAGCACACGCGGAACCACAGGTGAGGTGCAGGCACTAACGTGCCCCCCGCCACGATCGTTCATTGTTGTAGGTGTGAGCACACGCTGGGAAACCCTCAGGGTGAGGTGCAGGCACTAACGCGCGCGGCACGATCGTTCATTGTTGTAGGTGTGAGCACACGCTGGGAAACCCACAGGGTGAGGTGCAGGCACTAACGTGCCCCCCCCACGATCGTTCATTGTTGTAGGTGTGAGGAAAAAAAACACACGCTGAAACGCCTCAGGGTGAAGGTGCAGCAACTCCCTCACTAACGCGCCCACACGATCGTCATTGTTGTAGGTGTGAGCACACGCTGGGAAACCCTCAGGGTGAGGTGCAGGCACTAACACGTGCCGCACGATCGTTCATGGATGCTGAGCGACTGCAGAAGGAGATCGGCACACTTGGCTTCGAGGAGAACCTTGCTGCTGCAATGAACTGCTACAGTCATGCTATACGGGTGAGCCAATGTGGCATGGTACAGTCTTCAGGAAAAACTTTTTGAGCCACTTGCCCGCCGGACAAGTTTTCTGTAAAATGTACATACCCGAATGACATTCTAGTTGGTTGCATATTTTGTAGGAATATTTTTGGAAGATTGATTAAAGAAGTGCATGTCTTGGGTGTCGTACGCCCGGCTAAATTCTTAGGGTATGAGATGTGCGTGTGTTTGAGAGATGTGAGCTGTGGGTAGGAAACATGAACATATATGAGATATGTATCATGTATGTGCATGAGATGTATGAAGTATGCTATATGAGATGGGCATGAGATATATGAAGTATGTGACATGAGATACTGTCTGCAGGGACTGTATCAGAATTAACACGTTTCCGTTTTTCCGGGATGAGCAGATCAGATGGCGGAATCGAAAATCATTTCCGGCAGAAGTATTTTCTCTCGGTACCTTGTGAATGTCATAATTTTCAGCTCCGTTTTGCACTTGCAGAGTAGCAACGATTACTTAACGATTTTTGTTTAAATGTTTTTCGGTTTCCAGGTGCACAGTGAACACAAGCAGTTTCCACTTGCTGCTGCCCTCTGTAGGGAACTAGGAAATGCACTTAAGGTAACTCATTAAACTACAAACTATCTAAAGCTAAAGCTATCTTGGTTAATTTTTACTCAACCGTGTTGATCAAAACGTATTTGTAGTTGTAGTATTTAATAAGGTATTTGTAGTTTCTGTGTTACATACTGAATTCCTAATCGACTCCTGACAAAAAATCTCAGCAAGTTTAATTGATCAAATGTATATTTAATTCTCATTGTTTACAAAATGAAAAATGACAAGTGTATAACGATCAATTCATCTTTTTCAATTTCATTTGAATTTCAAGAGGCAAATTGACAAGTTTGTAACAATCAAAACATTAGTACTCAAAAAAGTGGATTAGATAAATTTGTAAAAGTACAAGTTTAGTTAAAAAATAATGGTACATTCCGAACTGCGAAACATTGTCATGAGAATTGATTCAAGTGGATGATGCGACCTGATGCTCAACCCCCATGCGTGACCATGCACCCAATTGCGCTCTGATCCTGCATCTTGTGACCCCCTGACTTCACAACCTCCTGACTTATATGTATCAGGAGTAGATAATAGTCGGAATGGAGTGTGACTTCAATAACACAAGGCGCATAATCGTCATTTACTTAGCCTATTAATTGCCTACGATTTACCTCGCGATAATCTCACTGCCAATTCTTGAGCCTCAATCGCTAGGCAACAGTACACTCGCAGGCCTGCATCGTGCCAGCGGATTAAATCGCTATTCCTCGTATACTACCTCGGGCAATGCGGAGATGCAGACTATTAGAAACCATCGTACGCCACGATTTTCCATTCTGCTCTCGCGCAGCGAACAATCGATGCGATCAGAGCCTAGATTATGAAACAAAGAGCAGTACTAACGGTCTCCGGCCGATGCACATGTGGCTCGCTGGGAGATTGCTGCTGCATTGCGTGGGGTGCGTGCGTGGTAACATACAGGTGCATAGAGCTGTATGCCGCCGGTATGCGACGTATAGTAGCTGTATGCCGGGTCAGAATGTATATCTCGGCCGAGTTGTTGCGTCGATGTCCAATCTCGCAGGCGGAGTTCACGCGACTGCATCGCCGGCGTTTAGTAGCTGCCTGGTTTGTTTCAAATTGGGCTCCCCTGATACGCATATTTTGTCGTGCAACAGAATAGAAAATCATGTCGACGTTTTAGTCTGTTCTTCCAAATTGCGGATGTGAGTATAGACGGAAACGATTGTCGACACGCGATGCTAGGCGGATTTAGCTGTCGGTACGATTTGAGCTCAGTTGGTTGCCGTATACGCGTAGGTAATCGTAGGTATTTTAAGGCTGTAAATGACGAATTTCCTTGTTTATTGATCGTCACACTCCAGTCCTTCCCTATTATCTACTCCTGATATGTATCCAGCTTGCCTCACAATCCTGCTCTGACTTTATCACCCTCCTTTCTCTTCATGACCTTCTAACCTCAAAACCTCCTATGACCAAAACCCTCCTATGACCCTGCACCACCCTCGTGTCATTTGAAACTCTTTGACGTCAAGCTCCCCTTTGGAAACCTCCCCATTGAAACCCCCTTTGACTCAAAACCCTCTGTTGACCACCCACGAACCCCCTTTGACCGTCGGAAAAATGGCCCGTCACTTTGACTTCTAATTAGCCCCCCCCCCTCTAGCTCATTGACTCTGTTCTCTAAAGTTATGACACTTCTCTTCTGATTACGTTTATGTTGATTCTCTCTGATCTCCTCGTGACCTTCTCTGACCTTATAATCCCTCCGTCTCTCTCCCGGCAGGAGCTAGGGAAACCACGCGAGGCGATCACGCACTACCAACGCGCCGCAGAGCCTTCAGAAGCAGAACCGCTCGACTGTTCTCGCGTCGCTCTGGCCTCATGGCGGCGTGTTCCAGATCGCGACGCCGGAGACTACGATGGCGCCCTCGCCGTGCTCACCGAGATGGCACAGATCGCCGAGGACCGCGGCCTGTGCGATGTAATGCAGGGTTCGTAGTTCGGGTACTTCTCAGGAGTCTTATGAAGTACTATTTTTGCCCAAAATACAATAAGGTAGCGCTCTGTATAGTTACTGTTATTTTTGTGAAATTCTTTTAGAAAGTCTTAATAGTCCCGTTATTCTTTTTGCAAAGGACAATCTGTTTTATAAGACTGTTCTCGAGCTTAGAGTAAGAATTGTTGCTATTTTTTTTTTTTTTTTGTTTACTAATATAAAGTACTGGGGAATAATGAATCTGCTTGTGCAATTGCTGTATATCAAATATTTTAGTGTACTTTCCTTAATAAGCTCGACGCTAATGGGTGATCATGGATTCGTATTGAAAAAAGTCTGTCATTTTGAGCGCATCTGGATGAAAATAAGGCTATCTATTACTATTGATCACTCAGATTCACCTTAATATGTGTTTCAACATGTGTCCTTACTATCTGTACAGGTCTTGACATCGCTCGGCTGGGCGGCTGGGTCTGTCTGGAAATTCAGGGATGGTTTTCGCGTATGGCGTAACACCACGGGGGCGCATCACACTGCTCTACTTGCATCTGGGTTGTACGGCGCCACACACTTGACCCCGCTTATTTCAGGTTCGTCACACCTGATCTGTTTCACTGGCTTTAAAATTGGTCCAGTTCCTATAATTTTTAAAATGAGTGTAAACTAGCATTGTTTCAAAGACATCGTCTTAGCTTACGCATCGGGAGCGCGTGGGGGCTAGTTGTTAATGCCGGCGATCTGTAACCCTTTCTCGGTCTGTGCATGTTAGTGTGGGAGTGGATGTGATACAGATTAGGCGAGATGTCTGTGCATACTAGAACGGTCTCGCGCGTTTTCACGGTTCAGTAAAAAAGTTTCACATCGCATGCGGTTTTCAAACGAGTTCAGGGATAAAGGCGATATTCAAAACTGCTATCTCAAGAATGATACAAATCTGCACGGCGGCGGGTACGTAACGACGTGCTTCTTGTCCTGCGCCTCATGCAGTTCTATTACTTCTTGTTTTCTCCCGCAGGTGGCGCGGCGGGAAGCCTGATTTGGGCGCGTACTCGGACATGCTCGGGGAGTGTGAAGTGACGCCGATGTGCTGCCCGGATTGGATGCTTTGCTGCGGCGACGCCGGCAGCGCACGCAACCCGCCGCACTTCGCGTCTGCTGGAGGAAGGTACGCGGTGGGTTCGACGCGCGCGAAAGCATGCTGCGCCGCGCTTCCTAGCGACGACCTTCTTCCTCCTGCTGCTAGTCGCTCGTGGTAACGATCGTTTTGCTTGTGCATGTTCTTTTGTCCGTTGTTCTTTATTGCTGATGCACCTTCTCATGTGTTTTGTTTGTCCCATGTCCTCTTATGCTCATGCATCCTCGCATCGTTAGGTAGCAGTCTTCATTTCTTGCATCATATTGCAATGTTTCTGCTACGTGTTGCTCAACGCTGTTGCTGTATAGTCGATAGAAGTTTTGCGTTTCCTTCTTATTTTGGCGTCGCGCTTATATATATATAAAATTAAGTTCACTATTATATCAAAGTGATTAAGTAAATAATATTAATAATAGTTATATTAAAAAAATATAATACATAAGAATAATTAATATAACTGATCACTCACTTTACGTGGTTCTGCCCACTTGTAGTTATAGTGTTCTTGCAACTCCTACTGCTAGTGATGAGGGATTGGTTTTGCTGCTCTTTGGCTGTATATGGGTTTGGTTATTGTTGCTGGATTGCGTTATGCTGCTGGTGAAGCATCACTTGTTCTCATTAATTCCATGGTGTAGTAACAGTCCTGCTGCCTGCTTGTTGCTAGGGGCCTAGTGTCATCTGTATCATTCTCGTCACTTTAGCGGTGTCGGTTCTGCTTCTTGCTTAATGAAGGAATTTGCATTGCTTCTGCCGTTGTACATTGTTAGCGGCAGTGTAGCAAGGTTGTTTATACGGACTTTTTAAGAAACGTTGGCAAGTCATACAGTTTTCTCCAAGGTGGAGGTGGCGACCCGCACTTTCGACACCACGGGTGGGATTATTTAGTAACAGTGCAGCAATCCAGTGCCATGTGTATGTACTTTACTATTGCTAATTATTTTATTAGTGTGTATTATCACCTGGGTGTACCTGTAGATGGCTGCAATCAAGGGATCTCAATGCTCTCCCACTAGCATACAATCAGACCATATCTTCAGGTATAGATTTAAACATAATTCTTAGCTGTTCATTCCTACACTAGAGCTCAATGTTTAAATCTATCGCTGCAACCTGACCACTATTAATATAGCTGTGGATGATGCCATTAGCCCTAGTATATGAGTTATTTATTTTGATGTCATGTATGTGTATATATTAATTCTATCTGGTCATGCATTGTTTATGTTATTGTTTTATCATGGGCCTTCTAAATTTAGTTAGTCCACTCACATCGCGCATGTTAGTAAGTGCTACTAATACAATTCTTTGATATTCTTAAATGAAGCGATTTTATCGCGTAACGTTATTTTCGACATCGATGATAATTTGCAGCGACGTAATTCAGATGTGTCTTTGTCTATTCTGGTTTTCTGCCGCAGGATGCCACCTGTCCTGTACAACAGAGTGGGCTACTGACACAAGCTCGTATCAGAAATGTGAGTCGCAGTAAGGAGTTGTTATGATCAAACAGTAAGTTCTCGTGGCTTGGTTGTATGTTACTTCTTTAATACTATGATATACCTTTCCCCGGCAGTCAAACATGTATGTATATATAAATATATTTGTGTATAAAGGCGTGGGAAAGGAAAGGAATGGAGGGGAGTGGAACGAGAAAGAGAGAGAGAGAGGTGGAAAGAAGAATCCAGTGGCTGCCACGTTTATTTTGACGAAAAAAATTGTGCAGGGAACCAAGGAGCTACATATACCAAACTACACATGCATGGTGCCATTTTGGTGGAAAGATTTGATCTAAGCAAAATATCTAACACAGGCGAATCGGCACACAGGGCAAGATAAATCTTAAAGAACTACTGATAATATCGTTATTAGTGTAATTACTAGTGACAACAGTAGTAGTAAAGCATTCAAGAAGCCATTCAATGTAGTAATGGGATGTATAGGAGGGGGAGAAGCTGGTGGAGGAGGATGAGAGGAAGTTGAGTCAGTGGATGAGAAGGGAGAAGAAGAGGAAGGGGAGAAGCTGGTGGAGGAGGATGAAAGGAAGTTGAGTCAGTAGATGAGAAGGGGGAAGATGAGGAAGGGAGAAGGTAATTGGAGTAGGAAAGGGCTTATTTTTCATAATTATGTACTGATAGTATATACAATTTTGTAAACAATGTTTTATTAGTTATCTTACTCATAATATATTATATAGTTTAGATACTTTAGTCAAAACATCAGCTTTAGCTACATTCCTTTTTGAAATTTACAAATTGATCTTTAAAAATGATCAGAATTGGTTGCTTTTAACATAGCCTGAAAAAAATTCTGGGGGGAGGGGTCTCCCAGACCCCCCCCCCCCCCCGCATGGGCTTTGCGACGGCGGCGTTCACCGTGTGTGCCTCAGGCACACATGATAGCCGCCACTTATGCTATAATAACTGGGTGATCCTACATTTTTCTGCAGTAGCACATTTTGGGAGGCCAGTACAGCCCTGGAATCAAAAGACAGGAGAGTAAGAGAAGAACGAGGGAAACAGAAATAGAGAGAAGGGGAGGAAGAGAGAGAGGGAGAGAGAGGGAGAAAAGGGGGAGGGCTAGAAAGCTCAAGAGATGGAGAGTGAGAGATAGAGATAGAGACAGCGAGAAAAAAAGAATGTGAGGGGGTGGGAGAAGGAGCAGGAGACCTGCTAATGTTTATTATAATGAGATCTAACTTGATACGTTGTGTTTTTCTTGAAATGTGTAAACAACTAGATCACTGTTTATCCTGACCTGGCATGTCAAACGCAAATTTCTTAACATTCTTCTTCAAGATTGATTATTTGTTATCACTACAATCACTGCATAACCCTACTATAATGTACAAATTAATTCTAACATGTATATGTGCAGTTACTGTAAAAAACAAACAATGCAATGTAGTGTGTGGGATGTGTGAATGGATGCACAAACTCAGAATGTTCTCTAGAAGTTATGATTGCAATAAATAAAATGCTATGTAATGTTAAATATATAATGTTCCCGGTAAAAAGGACGTATGTTTTTTTTTCATAGGATTTTTTCTCTTTCTTTTTGCAGCACTTGTATTATGCAGCACATAGTTCAATGGAGTCTCCTAATATACCTCGTAAACACCTTATCCACGCACATGCACACACACCACACACACACACACACACACGCACGCACGCAAGTGTGCGTGCGTACGTGCGAGCGAGCGTGCGTGCGTGTTGGCACTTTGATTCATTAACTTACACCGAACGAAATTGTGTTTAAAATGCTAACTATGCAAAAGTTTGATGATTTCACCCGACTCTGTTCCTCGTGTTTATTGTAGTTATCTAATTTCATGAATTTAAAATTTATTGTAACAGTATGTATATGTGATAATCATCTAAATAAATAAATGAAATAAAATAAATTGCATTGTTGTTAAAAACTAAATATACACACGCTATTCACGTGTATATGATTATTTCAGTGTTTAGGCAGTGTAACACCTACACATATTTCATGCCTGTTGAAGCTTGTGTCCAGGTCACTGCTTGGGTATGCTGATTGTGCATGCATGCGTGCGTGTACCCACGTGTGTGTATTTATGTGTGCGAGCGCACGTGTGTGTGTGTGTGCATGCGTGTGATGAAACTAGAGTGTAGATCGAAGAATCGTAACCCGGAACCGGCTGAGATGGACTCATAGATACGCGTTTCCATTTCCATATTCATGTTTCAACGATTTACATAACAGTTTATTCATTCTTTGTCGCCAAGCCCCGATGCACGATGCCTGATTGACTGCATGAGCAACGCACACGTAACATATATATTTGGACGTGTACAATGTAGTTCACATTTTGAGACCACATCAGAGCATATAAATCAACATATTATATACAACATAAACATAAACAAACGTTGATTTATATGTTCTGACCACATTGTGACGTGGACAATGTATACCACATTATGACGTGTACAATGTATATCACATTTTGATGTGTACAATGTAGACCACATTATGACGTGTACAATGTAGATCACATTGTGACGTGTACAATGTAGACCACATTATGACGTGTACAATGTAGATCACATTGTGACGTGTACAATGTAGATCACATTGTGACGTGTACAATGTAGCTTCAGCCAGTTAGAACCTTTCGTACCTGAGTACTGTTTAATTAATACGCATTACGTGTACACTGCCCGCAAACAGTAACTGATCAAGCAAATAGAGGGCACGTTGTTGCTACGCTTCGTATGTGAATTCCCGCGTCACTTTCTGTACACATGTATCTTTAACTAGCGCTGTCTGGCGTGAAGTCGCCTGAAACAAGGGACCGACAATGGGTCTAATTTCCACGCTAGGAAAACTGTTATCAAAGCAGTCATTAGCCCTTGGATTCGTCTTGATACACTAACCCATTGTCCCAAACTATTGGAAGATTTATTAATAGTCCTTGATGCTTTTAATAGTCCTTGCTTTTTGTCGCAAAGCTGCATCGTGATGCAATGACTGATGACGCTGATATCCCTAATAACACGGTAACATGAACGTGTCTATACTATATCCATTGTACGTCGGTATAAGTAAACATATATTTACGGCAATACTATTCCTACTTTTCACGACTTCGACATCTCAGGATTTTGTGACTGTTACCGCTGTGGGAACGGCCCCAACTGCCGTACTCACGAATGGAAAGTCTTTTATTTAGTTCTATCTTGCATGGTTCATTTTTACTCAACCGTGTTGATTCAAAACGCACTGCTGACGTTTCGCCTCCTATCAGGAGTCTTTCTCAAAGCTGACTGACGTTATCAGTTTTGACCACCAGATGGTGTAGTGGTCAGCAGCTTCACGAACGTCGTTCAACGTCACCTAAAAAATGCAGGCGTGGCATCAACAGTTAGACCGCTTGAAACCTTAAAAACGCATTTGGTACACCCTAAGGACAGAACAGATATACACAACATTACGGACTGTGTCTACAAGATACCGTGTGCAATGTGTGGAAAAAGTTATACTGGAGAAACCAGCCGAAAATTCGAAACCCTCATTAAAGAATATAAAAAGGACGTAGACACCGTAGCTCCCAAATCTTTCACAGGGGCCAAACGAAAACAGTCGGCTACCGAAATAACCAAATCCGCGATCACGGACCACGTAGCGAAGGACAATCACACCATCGATTGGGATAATGCGAAGATCATCGATCGCGAGCCAATCAAAATCAGGCGCTGGATTAAGGAGGCCATCTGGATCCGCAAGACCCAAAGCATCAACCGTGACGAAGGGGGATACAGACTCAGTCACGTGTGGACCAAGCTGTTAACCACTACACCATCTGGTGGTCAAAACTGATAACTTCAGTCAACTTTGAGAAAGCTTCCTGATAGGAGACGAAACGTCAGCAGTGCGTTTTGAATCAACACGGTTGAGTACAAATTAACCAAGATAGATCTATTATCTACCAATCGAATGAACTTATTTAATGACTTTAATTTAGTGTTTTTATCATAAAATTTAGCACGTCGTGTTCTCCCGAACTCATTCGGATTGGCGTCGAACTTGACACTCTTTCGCATGAAATTCTAACCAGGACAAGAATCGTGGCCGGATGTGCATATACACGTCGGCCGTGACGGATTTATTTTTTCAAACTAAAATATCGGCAAAAAGATAAGTGTGGTGGCGCGAGTCGACCATGAAAAAACAAACAGGAACACGAACAACGGTATTTGACGGGTTTATTTACACCTGTTTTACGCTCAACAAGCGTGTTTATCACGCAGATTTTTATTTGCAAACGCAAACCGCCTTGGTGTGTATGTTGACTTCTTAAATACTATGATATACCTTTCCCGCCGCAGTCAAACATGTATGTATATAAATAATATTGTGTAAGCGGGGAACGAGAGAATGGAGGGGTGTTTGAGTGGAAGCGCAAGAAAGAGAAACGGAGAGTGGAAGAAGAATCACAGTGGCCGCCACGTTTATTTTGACGAAAAAAATGTGGCAGGGAACCAAAGGCACCTAACTATACCAAACTACAACATGCATGGCTGCCATTTGGTGGAAAAGATTTGATCTAAAAACAAAATATCTAACACAGGCGAGATCGGCACACAGGCAAGATAAATCTAAAGAACTACTGAAATATCAGTTATTAAGTGTAATTACTAGTGACAACAGTAGTAGTAAAGGCATTCAAGAAGCCATTCAACTGTATAATAGGGATGTATAGGAGGGGAGAAAGCTGGTGGAGCGAGGATGAGAGCGAGTTAGAGTTCATGTGCATGAGAAGCGAAAGAAGAAGGAAGGAGAGAGAGCAGTGGAGGAGGATGAAAGGAAGTTGAGTCAGTAGATGAGAAGGGGGAAGATGAGGAAGGGAGAAGGTAATGGAGTAGGAAAGGGCTTATTTTTCATAAATATGTACTGATAGTATATACAATTTTGTAAACAATGTTTTATTCAGTTATACTATACTCGATAATATAATTATATAGTTTAGCCAATACTTTAGTCAAAACATCAGCTTAGCTACATTCCTTTTTTGAAATTTTTACAAATTGATCTTTAATAAAATGATCAGAATTGGTTGCCTTTAACCATATGGCCTGTATAAAAAATTCTGGGGGGAGGCTCTCCAGAACCCCCCCCCCGCATGGTCTTTGCGACGGCGTGGCGTTTCACCAGAGCGCATGTAGTGCATCCAGCACAATGAGCCGAGCCAACTTATGCATAATATACTGGGTATCCTACATTTTCTGCAAAGTAGCAGCATTCTTGGGAGCCAGTACGACAGGCCTGGCAATCAAAAGACAGGAGAGTAAGAAAGAACGAGGGAAACAGAAATAGAGAGAAGGGGAGGAAGAGGAGAGAAGGAGAGAGAGGGAAGAAAAGGGGGAGGGCTAAATAAGCTCAAGAGATGTGAGAAGTGGATGATAAGATACAGAACAGCGAGAAAAAAAGATGTGAGGGGCGTGGGAAGAAGGAGCAGAGACTACTCTAAATGTTATTATAATGAGAGTCTAACTTGATACGGTTGTTGTTTTTCTTGAAAATGTGTATAACAACTTAGATCACTGTTTTCCTGATCCTGGCAGTCAACGGCAAATTTCTTTAACATTCTTCTTCAAGATTGATTATTTGTTATCACTACAATCACTGCATAACCTACTATAAATGTACAAATTAATTCCTACTTTACGATGTAATAGCAGTTCTGTCAAAAACACACAATGCCGCATGAGTGTGTGGGGAGTTGATGATAGGCACAAACTCAGAATGTCTCATAATTAATTGCCATAAATAAAATGCTATATATAAAGTTAAATATATAATCGTTCCCGCCGTACAAAAGACGTATGTTTTTTTTTCATAGGATTTTTTCCTCTTCTTTTGGCAGCACTTGTATTATCAGCACTATAGTCAATGGAGTCTCTCTATATACCTCGGTAAACACCTTATCCACGCACGATGCACACACACCATCACACACACAACACACACAACGCACGCACGGCAAAAGTTGTCGTGGCTACGTGCGAGCGAGCGTGCGTGCGTGTTGGCACTTTATTCTCATTAACTTACACCGAACGTAAATGTTCGTGTTTAAAATGCTAAACTATGTCAAAAGGTTTGATGATTTCACCCGAACTCTGTTCTCGTGTTTATTGTATTATCAATTTCATGATTTAAAATTATATCACGTAAAAAAGTCTTATTTTGGCCTCCAGAAAAGGTCTTATAAGTCCTTATTTCAACATGTGTCTTACTACTATGAACCCTGGGTATGGCGTAACACCACCGGGGGGCGCCACATGGCTGGTGGCGGCGCCACACTTGACCCGCGATTACGCATCGGAGGCGTGGGGGTAGTTTTTAATGCGGCCGATCTGTAACCCTTTCTCGTCTGTGCATGTAGCTGTGGATGGGATGTGGATACAGATTAGGGATGTGTCATACTAGAACGGTCTGCGCGTTTTCACGGTGTCGTAAACAAGTTTCACATCGATGCGTTTTTCAAACGAGTTCAGGGAAAGGGATTTCAAACTGTTTAAAATGATAACAAAATCGCCACGCGATACGTCACGACGTGCTTCTTGTCCTGCCGCCCCTCATGCAGTTTTCCTATACTTCTTGTTTCTCCCCGCAGGTGGCGCCGGCGGGAAGCCGATGGGCGCGTACTCGGACATGCTCGCGGAGTGTGAGGTGACGCGAGTGCTGCTGTTGATGCTGCTCCGGCCGACGCCGCAGCGCACGCAACCCGCGCACTCGCGTCTGCTGGAGAAGTACGCGTGGGCGAGCGCGGAAGATGCTGCGCCGCCGTTCCTTAGCGACGACCTCTTCCTCCTGCTGCAGTCGCTCGTGGTAACGCATCGTTTTGTTTGTGCATGTTCTTTTGTCCGTGTTATATTATTGCTGATGCACCTTCTCATTGTTTTGTTTGTCCCTGTCCTCTTACTGCTCATGCATCCTCGCATCGTTAGGTAGGTCTTCATTCTGCATCATATTGCAATCGTTCTGCTACGTGTAGCTAAACGCTGTTGCGTATAGTGATAGAAGTTTTGCTTCTTCTTATTGCCCGTGGTTATTATATATAAAAAATAAGAATATAATATAAGAATAAGAATATAATAATATTATATTAAAAATATAATAACATAAGAATAATAATATAACTGATCACTCCACTTTACGTGGTTCTGCCACTTGTAGTTATAGTGTTCTTGCAACTTACCGCTAGTGAAGGGTGGTTTTGCTGCTCTTTGGCCTTTTTGGTTTTGTTGCTGGTTGGTTATGGCTCGTGGTGAAGCATCACTTGTTCTCATTATTCCATTGGTAGTAGTAACAGTCCTGCTGCTGCTTGTTGCTAGGGGCTACGTGTCATCTGTATCATCTCATCACTAGCGGTAGTGGTTCTGCTTCTTGTTATGAAGGGAATTGCATTCTTCTGGTTTACATTGTTAGGGCAGTAGCACATTGTGTTTATATTTTTGAGTTGGAAGTTGACAGTTTTTTACCAATGGGTGGCGCCACTTTCGACACGGTGGGATCATTAGTAACAGCAGCAATCAGTGTCATGATTTACTATTGTAATTAATTTATTAGTGTGTAATTACCTGTGTACTGTAGATGGCCTGCCAATCAAGGGATCTCATTGCTCTCCCACTACTACAAGCAGACCTTCAGTAAGTTTACATATTGCTAGCTTTCATTCCTAACTAAGCAATGTAAATCTATCGCGCAACCCGCACTATTATTATAGCTGTGGATGTGCAACTTAGCCCTAGTATATGAGTTGTTATTTATGTACATGTATGTGTATATATTATCTATCTATCATGCATGTTTTATATTATTGTTTGTCATGCTAATTTAAGTATGTCACTCACATGGCATGTTAGTAAGTGGCTATAATACAATTCTGATTTCTTAAAATGAAGCGATTTTATCGCGTAATTATTCGACATCGATGTAATTTAGCAGGACGTAACTAATGTGTCTTTGTCTATCTGGTTTTCTGCAGGATGCACCTGTCCGTACAACAGAGTGGGCTACTACACAAGCTCGTATCAGAAATGTTGAGTCGCAGTAAGGAGTTGTTATGATCAAACAGTAAGTCCTCGTGGCTTGGTTGTATGTTACTATATATCATATATATTATACTATGATATACCTTTCCCGCAGTCAAACATGTATGTATATAAATAATATTGTGTAGGGGGAAAGGAGAGGAATGGAGGGAGAGTGGAACGAGAAAGAGAAAGGAGAAGTGGAAAGAAGAATCCAGTGGCCGCCACGTTTATTTTGACGAAAAAAATTGTGCAGGAACCAAGAGGCTACCATATACCAAACTACACATGCATGGCTGCCATTTTGGTGGAAAGATTTGATCTAAAGCAAAATATCTAACACAGGCGAATCGGCACACAGGGCAAGATAAATCTAAAGAACTACTGATCAGTTATTAGTGTAATTACTAGTGACAACAGTAGTAGTAAAGCATTCAAGAAGCCATTCAATGTAGTAATAGGGATGTATAGGAGGGGAGAAGCTGGTGGAGGAGGATGAGAGGATAGTGAGTCAGTGGATGAGAAGGAGAAGAAAAGGAAGGGAGAGAGAGGTGGAGAGGATGAAAGGAAGTTGAGTCAGTAGATGAGAAGGGGAAGATGAGGAAGGGAGAAGGTAATGGAGTAGGAAAGGGCTTATTTTTCATAATTATGTACTGATAGTATATACAATTTTGTAAACAATGTTTTATTAGTTATACTTACTCATAATATAATTATATAGTTTAGATACTTTAGTCAAAACATAGACTTTAGCTACATTCCTTTTTTGAAATTTACAAATTGATCTTTAAAAATGATCAGAATTGGTTGCTTTTAAACATAGCCTGAAAAAAATTCTGGGGGAGGGTCTCCAGACCCCCCCCCCCGCATGGCTTTGCGACGGCGGCGTTTCACAGACGTGTGTGCACTTCCAGCACACATGACCACGCCACTTATGCCTATAATAACTGGGTGATCCTACATTTTTCTGCAGTAAGCACATTTTGGAGGCCAGTAACAGGCCTGGAATCAAAAGACAGGAGAGTAAGAGAAGAACGAGGGAAACAGAAATAGAGAGAAGGGGAGGAAGAGAGAGAGGGAGAGAGAGGGAAAAAGGGGAGGGCTAAGAAAGCTCAAGAGATGGAGAGTGAGAGATAGAGATACGAGACAGCGAGAAAAAAAGATGTGAGGGGGTGGGAGAAGGAGCAGGAGACCTGCTAATGTTTATTATAAATGAGATCTAACTTGATACGTTGTGTTTTTCTTGAAATTTTCGTGTAAACTAGATCACTGTTTATCCTGACCTGGCATGTCAAACGCAAATTTCTTAACATTCTTCTTCAAGATTGATTATTTGTTATCACTACAATCACTGCATAACCCTACTATAATGTAAAAATTAATTCTAACATGTATATGTGCAGTTACTGTAAAAAATACCAATGCAATGTACCTGAGTGTGTCGGGTGTGAATGGATGCACAAACTCAGAATGTTCACTAGAAGTTATGATTGCAATAAATAAAATGCTATGTAATGTTAAATATATAATGTTCCCGGTAAAAAGGACGTATGTTTTTTGTACGTAGAATTTGTTCTCTTCATTTTTGCAGCACTTGTATTAAGCAGCACATATTTCAATGGAGTCTCCTAATATACCTCGTAAACACCTTATCCACGCACACGCACACACACGCACGCACGCACACACGCACACACACGCACGCACGCACGCAAGTGTGCGTGCGAGCAAGCGTGCGTGCGTGTTGGCACTTTGATTCATTAACTTACACCGAACGAAATTGTGTTTAAAATGCTAACTATGCAAAAGTTGGATGATTTCACCCGACTCTGTTCCTCGTGTTTATTGTAGTTATCTAATTTCATGAATTTAAAATTTATTGTAACAGTATGTATATGTGGATAATCATCTAAATAAATAAATGAAATCAAATAAATTGCGTTGTTGTTAAAAACTAGATATACACACGCTATTCACGTGTATATGATTATTTCAGTGTTTAGGCGGTGTAACACCTACACATATTTCATGCCTGTTGAAGCTTGGGTCCAGGTCACTGCTTGGGTATGCTGATTGTGCATGCATGCGTGTGTGTACCCACGTGTGTGTATTTATGTGTGCGAGCGCACGTGTGTGTGTGTGTGCATGCGTGTGATGAAACTAGAGTGTAGATCGAAGAATCGTAACCCGGAACCGGCTGAGATGCACTCATAGATACGCGTTTCCATTTCCATATTCATGTTTCAACGATTTACATAACAGTTTATTCATTCTTTGTCGCCAAGCCCCGATGCACGATGCCTGATTGACTGCATGAGCAACGCACGCGTAACATATATATTTGGACGTGTACAATGTAGTTCACATTTTGAGACCACATCAGAGCATATAAATCAACATATTATATACAACATAAACATAAACAAACGTTGATTTATATGCTCTGACCACATTTTGACGTGTACAATGTAGATCAAATTATGACGTGTATAATGTAGACCACATTGTGACGTGTGCAATGTAGATCACATTGTGACGTGTACAATGTAGATCACATTGTGACGTGTACAATGTAGCTTCAGCCAGTTAGAACCTTTCGTACCTGAGTACTGTTTAATTAATACGCATTACGTGTACACTGCCCGCAAACAGTAACTGATCAAGCAAATAGAGGGCACGTTGTTGCTACGCTTCGTATGTGAATTCCCGCGCCACTTTCTGTACACATGTATCTTTAACTAGCGTTAATTCTGGCGTGAAGTCGCCAGAAACAAGGGACCGACAATGGGTCTAATTTCCACGCTAGGAAAACTGTTATCAAAGCAGTGATTAGCCCTTGGATTAGTCTTGATACACTAACCCATTGTCCCAAACTATTCTAAGATTTATTAATAGTCCTTGATGCATTTAATAGTCCTTGCTTTTTGTCGCAAAGCTGCATCGTGATGCAATGACTGATGACGCTGATATCCCTAATAACACAGTAACATGAACGTGTCTATACTATATCCATTGTACGTCGGTATAAGTAAACATATATTTACGGCAATACTATTCCTACTTTTCACGACTTCGACATCTCAGGATTTTGTGACTGTTATCGCTGTGGGAACGGCCCCAACTGCCGTACTCACGAATGGAAAGTCTTTTATTTAGTTCTATCTTGCATGGTTCATTTTTACTCAACCGTGTTGATTCAAAACGCACTGCTGACGCTTCGCCTCCTATCAGGAGGCTTTCTCAAAGCTGACTGAAGTTATCAGGTTTGACCACCAGATGGTGTAGTGGTCAGCAGCTTCACGAACGTCGTTCAACGTCACCTAAAAAATGCAGGCGTGGCATCAACAGTTAGACCGCTTGAAACCTTAAAAACGCATTTGGTACACCCTAAGGACAGAACAGATATACACAACATTACAGACTGTGTCTACAAGATACCGTGTGCAATGTGTGAAAAAAGTTATATTTGAGAAACCGGCCGAAAATTCGAAACCCTCCTTAAAGAACATAAAAAGGACGTAGACACCGTAGCTCCCAAATCTTTCACAAGGGCCCAACGAAAACAGTCGGCTACCGAAATAACCAAATCCGCGATCACTGACCACGTAGCGAAGGACAATCACACCATCGATTGGGATAATGCGAAGATCATCGATCGCGAGCCAATCAAAATCAGGCGCTGGGTTAAGGAGGCCATCTGGATCCGTAAGACCCCGAACATCAACCGTGACGAGGGCGGATACAGATTCAGTCACGTGTGGACCAAACTGCTGACCACTACACCATCTGTTGGTCAAAACTGATAACTTCAGTCAGCTTTGAGAAAGCCTCCTGATAGGTAGGATAGATAAAGGTATAGATAGTAAAAATTAACCAAGATAGATCTATTATCTACCAACCGAATGAATTTATTTAATGACTTTAATTTAGTGTTTTTATCATAAAATTTAGCACGTCGTGTTCTCCCGAACTCATTCGGATTGGCATCGAACTTGACATTCTTTCGCATGAAATTCTAACCAGGACAAGAATCGTGGCCGGATGTGCATATACACGTCGGCCGTGACGGATTTTTTTTTTCAAACTAAACTATCGGCAAAAAAATGAGTGTGGTGGCGCGAGTCGACCATGAAAAAACAAACAGGAACACGAACAACGGTATTTGACGGGTTTATTTACACCTGTTTTACGCTCAACAAGCGTGTTTATCACGCAGATTTTTATTTGCAAACGCAAACCGCATCGACCTACACAGAATTTCAACATCAAACCCCTCCCACCAAAACTGGAGCGAGGATTTTTTCCTAAACCCCTCGNTAGAGGGAGAGAGAGAGAGAGAGAAACAAGGGAGGACGAGTGAGAGAGTGAACGAGAGAACGCGTGATAAAGAGAGAGGAGAAAGAGAGAGGAGAAAGAAGAAGAAGAGGAAAAAAGAAAAGAAGAGAGGGAGAGAGAGAGAGAGAGAGAGAGAGAGAGAGAGAGATGCACAGAGACAGACAGAGATAGAGAGAGGCCCACGCAGGGACGCTGTGTTGGAGGCAGCACCTGTCGCAGTAACAGCAGCAGCAACAACAACAACAGCAGCAGTAGTAGTAGTAGTAGTAGTAGTAGCAATATCAGTAGTAGCAGCACCACCACCACCACCAGCAGCAGCAGCAGCGATAAGTGGTCACGCGTGTCATCGTTAGGAGGAGCAGCAGATAGACGCATGGCTGATCAGTGACAGCAGCAGACACAAGCAGCCGACAGTCAGCGAGGCTGCAGACGACACATAGCGGCGCGTGCGCCCACCGGGACTATTATATATATATATAGAGAGAGAGAGACCGAGAGAGAGTGAGTGAGACAGGCAGAGAACGAGGGGTCGGCAGAGGAAAAGAAGAAAAAAGACGCAAAGAGAGGGAGATAGTGAGAGAGAGAGAGAGAGACAGACAGAGAGAGAGAGGGTCCGGCAGAGGAAAAGAAGAAAAGATACACACCAAGAGAGGAATATATCTAGACGGAGAGGGAGAGAGTCACGGTTGCATCCACGGTGTACGTGAGACGGGAGACATCAGAGGAACGCTGA